CTCGTGTTTCTATTCTCTTTACTTGATTGATTAATTGTTTCGTAATTATAAAGAAATCTATCCTGGACTTCAGTTTTCTATTTTAAGTTTCATGGGTATATGTTTTTGAATTTGGGTGAAGTCTTCTGTAGACCTCAACCAAATTAAGCTCTTTCATCAGGCTCAATAGGCCGTTCCTATAACTTGTCTCTCTCCATGAAAGTCCGCCAGTCTTATCTAAGTGGCTAAGTGTAGTATTCCAATCTCCTACCATAATGACCTTAGAGATACACGTTTTAGATACTAGAAGATGGTTGAGTTTTTGCGAGAAAGGAATTTGCAATCGGTAGTCAGTCGGTGCATAGACATTTGCTACAAACAATTTCTCCGTTGTTAATTTCAAATTAGCAAAAATATACCGCCTCTCTTCATCACTTTCTATGGTTTCTAAAGGATAACCGTTTGGTTTTACTAGTATACATACACCTCTGGAATGTTCTGAGCCGTGACGGAGTATAATCTGTCCACCACATTCAGCACGCCAAATTGTTTCATCTTTCTTTTTAGAAAATGTTCCTTGAAGGCAAAAGATTGATTCTTTTTGTTTCTTTAGATAACAGAAAATGGCTCTTCGTTTTTCTTGTTTACGAAGACCACGGACGTTCAGTGACAAAATCTTCAATTGTGACATGAATTTGCATACAACAATAAAGCATAAGTTATTCTAAAGGGAACAAAAGTAACACGGATTGCAAAACAACACTATACCAAGACAGAAAAAAAAAACAAAAGCACAGTAACACTGAAAACTTACTCTTCTGGGATTTACCTGCGTCCTTCCGAAAATTCAACACAAGCAACCAAGGTCAAGTGAAAATTATCAACAAAATTCCGAAAACGCTGTCAGTCGTCGAAGCAAACTTAGTACGTTGATCACGATTATGTAACATATTTCAAAGTCCGGGAGAAGAAAGAAGGCTACGAGGCTAAATGAACTAAATATTGGCTGAATCTTAATTATTGGTGAATCTAATTTAATTTGATAAGGTCTGCCTCACACTTAATTTGAATAACAAAGCTACTAGATGGGTCCGTTTTCACAAAAATTGTGCCGTCCAAAGTCCAGATTCTCCAGTTTCGATGGTCTTTTTTTTATCTCTGACCTTTTTAAATAGTTCTGATCTTAAGAGGGTCTTATA